GATAGTCGAGGCTATTTCACTAGCATATGAAGCCCTGCATCGGCCTCTACCTGAGGTGATCAGGGTTCACTCAACCAGGAGTATGTAGGCTTCGAAAGCCTTTCGTTCTGGCCAGTCCCTGACTGGCATCTGCAATGCAGCTGGGTGGTCTACCCCACATACCTTTGTAAGGTTTTATCAGTTGGACCTGGACCCTACTCCGGGTTCCAGTGTCCTAGCAATATAGGAGAACTCATCCCCGGCATGTAAAACTATGGCGTGTTTGGGATAGCGTTCCCATTGTGTCTCCTAAAGAGACGCAGCGTAGAGTTCCCAAAAGGGAACGCGTCAGGTTACGAATGTAACCATGGTTCCCTAAGGGAACGAGACGCTGCGTCGCGTTGCCATACTTTTTCATACCTGGTGTGCTCCGTTCAAGAGGTATAAGCTGAAGTTCACTGTGAGTGTGGGGCTTTTATACCTTCGGTCTGACGCCACACGCACGTTGCGTCCCGCCAATTACATTGGATTGATTACACCTGTGCTTCAGAAGGTTATAAGAGAGGGATGGTATCCCATTGTGTCTCCTAAAGAGACGCAGCGTCTCGTTCCCTTAGGGAACCATGGTTACATTCGTAACCTGACGCGTTTTCCTGGAGCCAACCCCCAAAGGCGAGTCGATGAATTGCAGTTTTAGTTACTTGCGTATTGACTTCCCGAGGGAGAGCGGGAGGTTGCCACTTGGTGTTATCAAGTACTGTGTTGCAGGTGGAAGGGCGTGTAAAACATATGCTGGAATATCTGGCAATTTGCTGTGGCAATCCCTGATCAAAAAGGGACTAAGCCGAAGGAAAATAATATATGAATATGTAACTAATAACCAATATATTTAACAGTTAAAGTTATTATATATAAACATTGTTGCTTCATTTAAAATATGAATGTTTTTCATACATCAGTCTTTTTCCACCAGATTTTCTGAGTTTTTTAGATAAGTGAGGCAAGGTTTTCGTATAAAACATCAGACACTCACATAACATTCATTTTTTAGTTAAAACTTTTGAAGTTTCGGATTTGTTGCGTTTTTGGTCCATAAAATTGAGAAACAGCTGCCTGAAATGATTGAATGTGAGCCGACAGTGTGCCTAGCTGGACTAATTCCCAGCTGCGATTGAGCTTTTGTGACTCGCTGGGCCTTTTTCCAGTCACCTCTTGTGAACTCTCTGGACACTGTTCTGTGACGATGACCAGATTTGTCAGGGCATGAGGATTTTTTGACAAGCTACTGTAGCACATGTGGGCTAAACACAGCAGGTGACTGAACATCACAGTCGGATGCGAGGGGCCAGGTTGCTTTTTTGGCTTCGGCCCCGGGAATCTGACCCCCTTCTAAAAAAAATTAGGTCAGCAATCGGATGGGATGCAAAAAAACTACCCCCTATATTCAGCAATCAGGGGCTTCAAAATTCACTGGCAGCTAAAATACGAAGTAATGTGGGTGTTTGTGGACGAAGACACAGGAATGCAGTCGACGCCAGTTTGCTCTTTGGCCTTTCAGAGGTAACCAAGCATATCCTCCTAAGGCTTTAGCCTCCCTGCCTCGTTCCCTCGCAGATAAAAGCCTAAACCTTGGCTTGGTCACAAAAGAAAAGGAAAAAAAAGAGTCATTTGATTCGAGATCATCTTTTCCACTGTGCAGTGGCCCATCTGTGTTTGTATTTGGAGAAGCTACATAATATTGTAGAAATGTATGGTCAAATTTGTGAAAATAAAGCCATATTTTTGTGATTTCAACTGAGATTTTAAAGAGCTTGAAATCGTTTTGAAAAGTTAATATTTGCAGGCCTTCAAAACTGGCATTGCAGTTTATAGTTATGTATGACAACAGTGTGCTTTAGCTAATGTATTTCAGAGGTAGGAGTTTCAGAGCCACACACACCAATTACGTTACAATTATTATAATTTGATAATTCCTTACATTTATATAGCGCTTTTCTGGACACTTTTATGATATGGTTAGGCTGGCCATGATGGACAGAGGACAGAGGGCAAATTTGGCCAGGATGCAGGAGTTAAACCCCTACTCTTTGGAATGACACCCTCAGATTGAATTTTCTATTTTTTTTATTTTTATTTTTTTGATCACAGAGAGTCAGGACCTCGGTTTAATGTCTCAGCAGAAAGACGGCGCTCACTGAGCAGTATAGAGTCCCCATTAAAAAAACTAGAGTGTTAAGACCCACATAGACTGCAGGTTGAGTGCCCCCTGCTGGTCTCACGAACACCACTTCCAGCTTTCCCATGTGGTCTCCCATCCAGGTGCTAGCTTCAGTGGGCCATCATGTGAGAGTTGCAACTGAGCTTAACATTTAACAGTTTATGCTGAAAAGTTTGAATCCTTCAAGCTTTTATAACGTTTAAAACTACTAAGTGTTTTTTATTGTTTGCGTTATCGAAGTTTGTTCTTCGATAATTTTTTTTTAAAACTTTTTTTTTAAATAAAGGTTCATATTTCTGTAGTGCAGCAATATACAAGACATGGTTTCTTTCAAACCACAGTTTTCTCTTGCTGAACCTGATGAATTTTTAACCTGCTGCCAATTTAGCTAAATGTTTCACCCTCACGCTAAATTTCCAACCACATATACTCAGAGCTGGATTAAGAACATATTGGGCCATGGGGCTATAGTAAACCCAAAGGCCCCATTTATTTTATCACCTAACAAAAGTAGCTTTTATTCACTATTATTATTATTATAAATTTGCTAGTTAATATTATTATCTAATGTCCCACCATTTGATTATTATACATGTTTTCTATTTTACTAAAGCAAGCATACAAAGTTAATGTAACATGAGCTTCAAATTTGAAACAGGCTGCCAATATCAGAAAAAAAAACACATTTGAAATACTTCCTAAGCAGAAATCCCTAAAATATCTTTAAAAGCCATGCTACAAATTTCCTGTTTGGTCTTGAGTCAATCAATTACAGAAGCTTAGCATGTTTCTTTTTTTTTTTTCCTCATATATATATAGTCTTATGAAAGCCAGCAACAATATTTAATTGCTCCTCATTATTACTGTCATTTTTATAAAATGGGAAATTCATTTGTTTAAAAGATTACTTTCTAACTGTTTTAGTGGGACCTAAAGCATGCTCTCAATAACTGTTGTGTAGCCTTTTTAATTTGGTCGCACACTGTCTCAGTTATACTATTTGAGAGGAGGCCGAGACAGCGGTTAGTTATGAGTCCATTATACAGCATGATTTCGCCTATCCCAGCTTCTCAAACTGCATGTTAATAATGGATACTGTTCAAATCTTATTTTTTGCTCTACAGTGCACTTGGTTAGCCTACCTTTGACCGGACTATTCCTTTTGGTAGAGCCAAAATAAGGAGCTGTCCTGGGAAATAAGGTAGTTTCCAGGGAAAAAACAGGACATCTGGTCAACCTTTATGGGGACTCAAACAGGGCTGCTCGAAATTTAGTTTTGTGGTGTCACTGTTTTTGAACAGAAGTGAGCCGAAGGAAATCATTCACATTATCAGCATGTGAAAGCATAACACAGAGGCTTTTCTTGAGTCATGGCACAAATTAATTCTTCAGCCAATCAAGGGCTCCCTTCTTTCACGGGCCCTGGGGCTTCAGCCCCACTTAGCTCTTATGTCATAACCTTAATCCCGTGGGCTAACTTGATCACCCGCCAGTGATCTGCAATTCTTCACTATGGACGTCCAGCACCTAGACTGCAGCTCTGCACAGGAAGTTTGGCCAGAGGAGAAATAGTAATATCCAGCTGAGCCTGTTTTTTCCCCAAGTTTTTTTTCTTCATTTTTGTCAATTGGTAAAGTTTGTTCCTCGCCACTGGTTTGTTTGATTGGGACTTGTGGAGCTGCGCATCGATGGATTTCCTCTTCAGTGTTTGTACTTTCAGCAGTGAAAATTAAACCACACTGAACTGAACTTAACTGAACTTCAACTGGACTAACAGTTTCAATTTACTAGAACTTCTATGTTAAGCTCCTTTGACTCAATCTACAGTACATTGTAAAAGAATTAAAGATTAACTGAATTATGTTAATCCGGCCCTGCACTAGATTTTGTACACAGAAATATAGAGCAGCGAACTCCATGATTGAGTTCACACAAAACAAAACTTTGTTTCAAACTTGTGAACTCTTATTTCCTCTGAAAAAATAGAATTGTACAAGTGTTTATTTCAATATATCAAAAGCAAATAGTGACCGGAAAGGATAATAAAGCTCCATGAAATATGGTCCATGCAACTTGTTTACTGTAGTTTAGGTATTTCAGGATGTTTTGTTGACAGAAAAAGCAATGGTATGCAAAAAATAAAATCAAGATTGAACGTGTCTCGATGTTGATGGCATTCTGATGTATTTTATGATTTATGGGGATAAACTTAAGAGGATCTGTGCCATTTTTCCTTGTGTTTGTGTCTTTTTTTCCGTGAAATCATCATCAACTTGTCATCGTTCAAAAATTTGTGAGTCATTTAGTATAGTTTTGTTCTTACGATATATTGTTCCTTGAAAAGATTAAAGAAACTGTTGACAGGCCAAGATATGCAGAACAGATTTGGGGTCTGTAATTCATAAACGCAGAAAAATAACTGCAGACTGCTCCCGTGAACTTGTTTTGACATTTTTTTTCTTCTTCTGATAAAGGCGAATTTCTTGGAATTGATTTCAGCGGTCCCCGGTTTATTTATCTAAATTTGTAATTGCTTTCAAAGGCCACAAGTAGCATCTTTGATGAAAACTAGTACAGGTCGGAAATAATTTATCCACTTGTCATTATCAATTCTGATAATGATTGTTTAAATGTTGTGTATTTTACACACATGCTGTGGTAAATTTCCTCAAAAATAATTGTATTTTTGTTATTTGGTCTCACAATAAGAGCTATGTTTGACATAATATTTCTGTAATGTATTAAAGCAGTTCATCTCTAAGTCGGTCCAAAACTTTTCCTGTTCTTCCTCTCTTGGAAACAGCTCGGGCAACTGGACAAAGCTGCGTCTGCTGCTCATACGTATTTCCAGGCCAACCCTGAGCATGTGGAGATGAGAGAGGACCTGGAGCAGTACAAAGCACAGAAGGGTGTAAAAGAGGAACATTTCATTGACCGGGAATCACGTCCACATCAGGTGAGTCACTGCTGACCACAGTTGCCAGTGATGTGCCACACAGAAAGAAGAGGCAATGATTATTTTACATGCCTCTGACTACAGTGTTTAATCATGCCCCATTATAGAACAGCAAAACAATTTTTATCGTTTTACAATTGTTTAATAAAAATTTATTGTAAGTATTGGGTGGTAGAACCAACGATACAATAGTTTAAACCCCTTATAAAAGGTGTATTAAAGTTGCATACAGTATCAAGTAACAACTGAATACAGTACAGCATGTACTAGAAGATCTTGGTTAATAAAAAAGAGAAATCTGCTCTCCAAAACTCTCCCCATAAAGGCTGCAGTTCTGTTTACACTTTTAAGTACAGAGTTATGTGAATTGATTATTGCATGAAACTGTGTATTAGTGTAGTAAGTACATGTAAGCATGTTGTAAATGAGTCCTTACATTTGGTGGTGATTAGATAGGAGATTGGTAATTATTTGAGATTACAGTATCCTGTTATATAGTCTACAAACAGGTTTATTCACAAAAGGTTCAATCATGAACGCTTTTTCTTAAAAAATCCTTAAGTACAAACAGAGTCAGAGAGAGAACTTGAATACACAATAATAATGAATGGCTAAATAAAAAACAGGTTATACAGATGAAAAATTTAAGGTAGGAAAAATGAAGAAAAAGCGAAAAGGAACTGCTACTTACAAGGTCACAGTTATTAAGACAGGTGACGTGACAAAAGAAGAAATTAGTTCATTTCTGCAAAAAAAAAAAAAAAAAAAACTTTTATTCAACTTTTTTTTTTACCAATAATATAAAAAATTATTGTGCTCTAAAATTAAATGAAATAACGAAATATGCTATAAATAAACTCGACAAAAACTTGTCCAACAGTGTTTGTTGTATATAAAATGGAACTATTATTTGTAAATTATATTTAAATAAGGCTTTTTAGTACATTGTTGTTTGATATTGAAATACTTTCTTTAACTTGTTTTAAAATATGTGGTAAAAAATGAGAAGACAGGTGAAGTAAAACAATTACAGTGATTATGTTGCACTGTATATTAATAACAATTCCTCTTGCATTGTCCTCTCTCTGTTTTTTTTTTTTTTTCCTTTTTTTCTTTGTGGACATTAAATGTACAACAGCTGAAATATTGATACTGAATTTTTTTAAACTCTTTTTGTGTTTGAAACATTGAGACATATATATATATATATATATATATATATATATATATATATATATATATATATAGAGAGAGAGAGAGAGAGAGAGAGAGAGAGAGAGAGAGAGAGAGAGAGAGAGCAAGAGCAGCATTGAGTAACACTTTATAATAACTTCACATTGAATAATTTATTAAGCTTTAGCAAAATAGTTAATTCATTATCTGTTAAGCATTAACTCTACATTAATAGATGTTTGTAAGCAGTTTATAACTGCAGATACAAACGCTCTATTATTGACCTATAAGCACATGTAAAATGTGCTTAATGATTGTATTTTCATATTCTGTTATTTTTTCATAACTAAATTAAGTATCACATCATTTACCAATCAGTTATTTGAGAGAAGTTGCTGGTTTTTAGAGATCATTCAGAATGAGTTAGTAAATGATTAATAAACTATTAAATTTAGCATTTATAATTCTATAATCCTAATCTAAAGTGAGGACTATTCATGCTTTATAAATCACTTATAAATGACAATTAAAGGCTCAGTTATATTCTAAACAGGAAAAAAAGAAAATTAATGGCTTTTTTAATTTCTATTTATTTAAAGATGCACAAATGAAACTTTCAAATTAAAAATAAATCTTTGCAATCGTATCTAAAATAAAATTACTGTACAGTTTACACATCGCTAAATAACATTGAAATATTTGATCATAATATACTGTTAAATTATTATATTGTTGTTTTATCCATTTTTTTGTTATATTTTGAATCTTTTGTTATTCAGCAATGTTTAAACTTTACAGTAGTTTTACTTTTTAGATAAGATTGCAAAGATGTATTTGTCATTTGATACTGAACCTTTAATTGTCTTTCATAAGGGATTTATAAAGCATAAATAGTCCTCACTTTAGATTAGGTCACAAAACTGGATAAAGCTGAGTTAATAAAGCATTCATTAACATACAAATTGACTATTAAATATATGCCTGAATAATCAGATATATAAATGTTGATTTGAATAGTTTATTAATCATTTACTAGCTCATCTTAAATAATCTAAAAAAAAAACAACAACTATTCTTACAAATGATTTGTAAACAATGCTATGCTGAATTTATTAATGAAAAAATAATCAGTAACAAAGTATGAAAGTACAATTATTAAGCACATTTAAAATGTGCTTATAAGTTAAGAATAGATCATTTGTATCCAGTTTACTAACAACTGCTTACTAACACCTGTTAATGTAGAGTTAATGCTTAGCAAATAATTAATTCACTATTTGCTAATGCTAATAGATGATTCGTAGTGTCTAGTTATTATAAACTGTTACCCAGTATTGCTCTCATGGTTCTTATAGCATGTCTTATAGTCATTATTTTTTTATATCTTGCTAATATTAGATGTAAAACATTTAGTTTGCAATAAAACAACCAACAACCATGTTTGGATTTTATTATCATACTGGTGAAATATGAAAGCTGAGTGTCAAAAAAGAAAAAGCACAATATTGTGGAAATTGGATTTTAAATGCACTACAAATAATTCTTACTTAAAAAAATGTTCTCCAAAATGATTGTATATTAAAAATAACAACTTCACCATTCAAAATGGTTAAATAATCTCAATTGCCAGACTTTCCATGCATTACTACTAATTAGCTCCTCAAACCTTTAAAGACCCTACATTAAACTCTAAAATCACCAGATTTATTTTCATGCATCTTTATATTTTCAGAGAGCCTTCTTCGCTGGCGTGAAGCTCTATGACAAAGGCCACTATGAAGAGTCGATGTCGCTGTTTGAGAAGGCTTTGAGCGAGTATTATCATGCTGATGAGGATTGTCGGGCCCTTTGTGAAGGACCGCAGCACTTCGAGGAGCAGGATCACGTCTTGTACAAATACAGCCTGTACGAGCTCATCTCAGGTACAGATTTTGTATTCCGAGCTTTTCTGCTTGCTTTTAATGTGGTAAAGTGATCATATGCACTTTTGAGAAGGCCCTGGGAGTTTTCCATTGAGCTTCTCATGTTTCTAAAGCTATTTGTGTTTCCATCTTCCCGCTCTGACCTTTATATGAGCCTTGTCTGAGCAAGCAAGAGGCACAAATGTCTGACCTTCTTTTTTTTTTTTTTTTGATGTACAGTTGTACAATTTGTTATTGTTGTGTCTGACAGGCAGTTCAGCAACGAACAGCTTGAAAGAGCATGACATACGATTGCCCTACACAAAGTTTTGCATATAAAACAAATCCAGGTGCATCCAAAGGACACTGCTTTTTGTGTTTATAAATACAGGAGCAGATCATTTTAACTTAGCCTGTGAAGTGACACTGTCTGGTAAACATAAACATAACGAAAGCTAAGTTTTGGTGTTTTTACACCTGCCTTATTTAATTTGAATCGCACTAGAAATTGTTTTCCCTCTTAGTGCAGTTTGTTTGGGCAGGTGTGAATGTAGCAATCGCACTCGAGTTTGTGCCAAAAGTGGACCAAAAAAGCACACCAAGATCTCCTTGAAGAGGTGGTCTTGTTATGCTGTCAAACGAATACTGGAACGGTTCGTTTGTGGTGAGAAAATGATCCGAACCAGAACAGACCTTGCCTTTTTGGACTAATCCAGCAGCAGTAGTCCGATGCGCTGTGCATTATGGTATGTGGAGGAAAAATATTTGATGCCAGCGCTTTATTAACAATTTTAAACACACACACAGAGAGAGAGAGAGAGAGAGAGAGAGAGAGAGAGAAAAAACATTTCCTGATGGATCATTGGTAATATTTCCAGAAGATGACCATGTCGCAGTTTAGCTAAATTAATTCACACCTCCTCCTGAAGCAGCTTGCGATGTGCCTTCGCCGTTTGCATTGTATTTAAACATTTTCGAGCTACACTTTATTTTCGAAATGTATTGTTTGTCCAAAGTGATGTTTACAAACAATATATAATATACTATGACCAGGGATACAATCAGCCAGCGCAGTCGTTCCTCCATAGTAAAAAGCGACATTTTGTGTCTGCCGGTTTGTTTACTTCCATTGGCATTTTCCCGCACGTAATTCTGACCAATCGAAAAGCAGTTTAGGACATACGCTTAATAATATTTGGCCAATGAGTGATGTGGATTTTGTCACCTGACTTGGTTCTTTTCAACTGGTTCGGACCAAAGCAATCAGTGTGGTATGAAAAATGCTCCAACGTATCATTTGTTGCCCTTGGTCCGGACCTAATGAACCGAACCACAGATGTGAAAGCACCTATAATTGCATTGCATTCCTGCTCAAAACTGCTGGTTTTAAATTCAGCAGGCCATAAGCAGTTCACAGTGTAAATATCATGAGGTGGATTTACATTATTCTGTGATATATTCATTCTGTGATTGGTATATTTCAATTTTTGTTAAACAGTGGTCCCTCACCCATTGTCAATTAATCTCATCCCTGCTGTGTCTCCTGTACAGTAGCTACAGAATGCGTTCAGCTTTCAAATTTACATGAGTGCACAAATTTACATGAGTGCTGGACTGTATGTTTGCAAGTTTTCTCGTCAACAAACCCCACAATGTCAAGCAAACGTTCTGCATCAAAGGCACCTGCGGTAGTACCCAAATGCCTGAGGAAGATGCTACCCATAGCACAAAATGTTGGGCTTCTGGACATGCTAAAGGAGTGTTTAAACAAGAGAGAAAAGTGTGAAAATGTTAATGCAGTGAAAGAAAGGTGTATAAAGTGTATAGTCAGGGGTTTTACAGCCTTAAGGCTCGTACTCACTGAGAAGCTTTTTGTTTGCGTTTATCGTCATCGTTTTACGAGACATTTTTCCAGATTCAAACCCAACCTATGACTGGCGTCAAGCAGAAGAGTTTGCAAAATTGATGTTAGATGGTGCTACACAACTTTAAGCTTATAACAACCTGCTTATAACACAGAAGAAGAGGAAGAGAGGAAGTTCACACGCTTGTTAAAGTTACTTGTGATTCGAACAAGTATGGATGGTTCAAGTAGCAGCTCCAGCTCTAGCGATGAAGAAATGATTATTGTTTACCAATGCAATAAGCAGCTCCACGTTCATTCACAGTTTTGCGCTTGAGCACCTCCAAGTGCTGTTTACTGTAACTTCAGCAGCTCCGTGCACGTGAACAAAAGTGCCAATCTGATTGGAGGAGATGGCTTTGATGCAGCGTGTCAAAACAAAAAAACGAGCATGAGGCGTTTCTTAAAAAATGAAGCTTTTACTCCTGGCGTTATGCATGTAGATGTGCATGATCACATTGGCACCCTTAATTTAGTCACGAGGCGTTAAACGTAGTCGGAAAACGTGAGCAAAAGCGTCCCGGTGTGCACAGACCTTTAAACTACTTGCGGGTTATTTTTAGAATGTAACTCCTACAAACAACGAGAGACCAATGCATTATCCACTCAATATTGACCTTATTAGTTGTTTGTTTTAATCCTTTATTTTTTATATTTAAAGATGTGTGTGCTGCTGCACATCCCTGTGTGTGTAATAAGCAACATATGAGTGTGTACCCGTCTATAGGCACATATCACTAACACGCTCTTTAAAAAAGAAAACTGTGCCATTGACTTTTGACCAGCTTGTAGTTGTTCAATGTAGTTGGTCTAATTCAGTTGCCTCAAAACAGCAATGCCTAAACAAAGCACACCTCCTTTTCACATCAGTGCCCCATATGTGAACAAATTCATTTGCTGTTTTAACAATGTGTTGCAGGATGTGTAAATGACATGCACCGGCTGAAACTAGCAACCAGGTATATGATGGGGCCCAAAGTCTTCAGCAGTCAATTTCAGCAAGTGGTGCTAAAATATTACTTTATTTATTAATTTATTTTGTTGATATAGATATGACAGAAGATGCCGTTGTTTTGTTTATCATTTTTTAGCTGCTATCAGTTTAGTAGATAAAGGCTGCATCTTAAAGCTTAGGCAGATGACTTGCTGCTTTACTGCTCAATTAGGCAGCTCAAAGGAGCCAGTGTTTGTGCACAGAGGCACCTCGTAAAACTGATTTCAGACAGTTTTCTGAGACAACATAACAGTTTAATCATGTAAAACTAAAGAGAAAGAGCTTTTGTGATAACTAAGGGAAAATTAGCTTACTACAATATTAACTTTTCCCTAGAAATGCCCTCAAAAGTATAAGATGTTAGTCAAAAATGTGCAGTAAAAAACAAAATGACACCCAAGTCACTTTACGAGTGCTTTTTTAAACAGCCAGAAATATAATGCGAAGGTTTGTGGGATATCAAAGGCAGATACAGCTATGCTGTCTTCATTATTTGATCAGAACAAGGTAGCTCCCAAAAAATGACCACAATTTGAATTGATAAATTCACGCTTTAAAGTTCTGCCTCCAAAGGAATAGTTTTAAAGCTTTTGGATTTTAGCCGATTTAAGTGAAACTCCATAAGAAATGAAGCTAATGTAGCTAACTGATGTCTTTTAATCATGTGAGAGTCCATAAAAGTCCAACAAGGAGTCATTTCACCCACAACACTTATGTCATAACAACCACCTCATAACATGTAGCCTATAAAACAATGCCTTGAGCTGTCCTAATGATTCTTAATTATTGCACTGTTAATTAAAGGAGGGTGCGAAAGAGCATTTCAGAAAAACTGTTCATGACCTGAATGTGTAATGGAAAACATTTTGACAAAAGCCAGTCATGAGAAGACATGTTCTCCGCAAGACTTGTCAGTGTTGCGGAGGTTTGCTTTAGGCGGTTTTGTGCATGATGACATATCTCACAGTTCAGCAAGGAATCCCTGGAAAAAAATCATAGTGATGTAACTGACATCTGTGTAACTGACTGACTTCCCTTTGTGATTTATTCCATTCATGCACATTAAAGGATCTGACATGAATGGTTTATGTTAGACTCTTGGCACTATTTTACAATGGTGGTGACTTCTGTAATTAAAAAAAAAAAAAAAAGTGAAATCAGAATGTATATTTATTTTTGCTAGTGCACATTGTTTTTCTTCAAGCCTAGTTTACACTACAGGATTTTCAAGATCTCTGTGCTGTTCACACTACATGACTTGATATCGTGTCTTATAATTTCTGTGGTGTTCAAACTAAGCGACAGTACGTAAATGATTCACAAGAGGGGGGTCACACACTTCATGATCTGACAACAACTTGTTCGCCAACAGCTCAGTCAAGCTATCAGACCACAGCCAATGAAATTTTGAGGGAGTCGTCATCAGAAAAATGCTGAACACCATTGCCTGCTTGTGTGCTGATTACATCACTGACAGCATTTCAATCTTTCAATTGGGCATTTAAAAACATTGTCAACTAACAGCTAACATAAACATAACTTTCTGATACCGAAAACTTCAGATATATCTTTCAAAACAGCATTTTCTGTGCTGTGAAATAGCTACTGTTTGAAAGTGAAAATAAAAGCAAGGCCCAGACCTTTGCGTGTTCTAGTATCTTAACTACATATTTATAGGCTGTATTACCAAAAAAGATAATATTTTTAGGGTAACGGTGTCATGAAATATGATGACAGATATTCAAAGCTTAATTTTAATATCTCAATAGAAGTTTTGAATGTAAATACAATGTGACAATATGACGTTTTAGAATGGTCAGAAAGACCTGTATGGTAATTTTAATAGTTACAGAATTCTAGTTTCACTTTTATTATAGCCCATTATCGAGTCCATGTTAAGACAAAATGAAGCGAGTATATCGATGCCCATTCTAGGGAATCACAGACATTTCGGTTGAGCTCCTGAGCACACAGCCGTTCAGCTCATGCTGATATGCTCTCTCATTGGCTGCAGCTCGTCACTACATCTGACCACACTTGAGGTTAAGTCGGCCGACTGCTCTGGAATATTCAGCATGCTATAAATTGGATTTCTGTCAGTGAGGTGTCAGTGAGGTGTCAGTGATGCGTCAGCGAGCCTCTTTGATGCCCCAACCGTCATTGGGTGATGAGCAAATCGTACAAAATTGTACAAATTAGATTGTATGAATTCATATGTATTAACCACTTGCTCAGTGGTTCACACATAAAGACTACCGAGCACCTGCAGATTTTTCCCCGATCACAGCCTGATCTCTCGACAAGCTTGTTAACTTCCAAATCAGGCTAAAATCAGGCTTAAAATCCTGTAGTGTGAACTAGGCTTTAGATGAACAATAAGTCCATGCAAGTTAATTCACTGAAAAAATGTTTTGGTAATCTTCAGTCAAAATCTGACCATTTGCTTCCACGTTTGGAGTGGCGGTCTTTGTGTTAATGTCAGTTTGACGCTTCAGCCACAATGTTCTTTCTTAACCATGCCCCTTTGATCTCAAATTTGCTAAGAGCGAATGATGTGAAAAAAGAAAGTCCCCTACTCAACATTTAAGTTGCAATCAACATACGGAAATAAAAGTCTCAACAACTTTTAGTTGACACAGACTTTAAGCAGTGCTTCTAAGCATTAAAAACCCTGTTTACTGATGTTTTTGTCAATCTGATCACAAATGGATGAAGCAAATACAGGTGAAAATAGCGTTTCAATTGTTGTAAGCTTTTTCAGTTTCGACCACTACCCAAGGTTTTCAGAAATGCATTATATCAGGTTGCTGTCATGGTGTAGATGCTCATATAGTCGAATGTGTTCAAACAGCCACAAATGACCACCTGCTCTTTTTATATTGACTCTGTATATACACGATTATGTGATGTTTTATGAGAAAGCACAACAAAACATAGTATTTATAACATGTTATAAAGGCTACATTTAGCTCACGGGGCTGCGAGACAATAAATAAGAAGAGCGGAGCTGCGGCAAAATAATGAATAAAAAGAGTGAGGCTATGGTCAAATAAATAAATAAATGAAAAAAAGTGCAACTGCAACTTCTGGCGGCTCCGTTCGCCATGCTGGAGAGGAACAGTCTGCACAAAGCTCTCATCTGATTGGCTGAAAAGTACGAGTTGCCCTGACTCTGCCAGGAAAGTCTCAAAAATACACACACACGTATCCAGGGGGAGTCGTACGTTAAAGAGGATTTGCACATTGTCATTCAGGATGAACTCGCAAGTTTTAAACATTTAAAACTTTTTGTACACTCTTATACATTTGCAAATGGTGTTGTGTATTCGTGAAACGTATTTTATGAAAATGTATTTTTATTTTGTGCACGTGAAATTTTTTTGTTAATATAAATAAATATTTTATGCACGTGAATTTGGCTACGCATGTGTACATCGTGTCTTTTGCGTGAATTTCTTTTGAGTCTTTTCTGATTCCATATTTATCAAGATTTTTTTCTGGCCAATAGATTTTATATTCATTTACTAAAATAACCTTGATTCATACTTTGGTGTATATGAACAGCATATACACCAAAGTATGAATCCACATCCACTTTGTTCATAAGATTGTAAGCCACATTACAGTTCAACAGTCCAACGCTCCCCTGAAAGTAGGGCATAACGAAAGAAGAGAGAATGATCTCACTGAAATTCAATCATGAGTGGTTAAATGTGGTCATGGTATTGTTTTGGCTGAATCAGGGCTCCAGACTGTGACTAAATTGTCACATTTTGTGACCTTTTTCCTGAGCTGGGCTTCTTTAAGACTTATGACATTTTTAGATAGTTTTTTTTCTACCTTTAATAAGAAGTCAAGATCTAGTCACACTTTGTGAGTGCAAGTGTAAATTAAATCAGAACAAATTTAATAATAGTCTCTATCCCACAATACACCTTATTTAATAAATGTTTTGCAAATTCAACAATGACCTCTACACTTTCTTAATGTCTTACTCATATTGTAATTTGTAAATCTGTTCCCACTTCTTATGTAGGAACACTCTACCAATATACTCTACCAACCGACCCTTTGAAGTGAGTTTAAAGTCTTCTCAGCTCTCTAATTTAATCTTTAACCTTAGCTGGTTAGACATCTTTGATTTGATCCCAGTTCAGTGATCTCACTCTGGGCGAAGATGTGGATACTACATCAAACCCCAATTACAGGGTTTTATTAAGCCATGAGATCCCACTGTCATGGCCTGTTTCATTTTTACATAAGTTACTCTATGTAGTTCAAAGTATGTACATGTGTTTTGACTTGGTTTAAGACTGAGTACGAACCAGCTAGAGGCCTGAAGCTAATTTGAACTCAAGACCTCCATGTCATATAAATCGTGTTGAACTTTGTGTTCCAGATCATTACACACAGGTCCTTCACTGCAAGCATGAGTGTGTCCGAGACTTGGCCACTCGTCCCGGTCGCCTGTCACCCATGGAAAACTACCTGCCACTGCATTACGACTACCTGCAGTTTGCTTATTACCAAGGTAAATGTACATATACTGTATGTCAAAACAGGTTTTAATTTCACTCAACTTACCAAAAGGATAAAATCTTAAAACCTAAAAAATAGGCTTATTTTACAAGTCTCCTAGAGTTAAACAGTCGAGTTTTAACATTATTGAATCCATGCAGCCAATCTCCGAGTTTGGCAGAAGCAATTTTAGCTTAGTTTAGCAAAGATCATTGAATCAGATTAGACCTTTAGGATCTCGTTCAAAACTGACAAAAGAGTTTTAGTAAATTTGTTTAAAGCTTGATGCTTCTGTAGTTATGCTAATGGTCTAATCCGATTCAATGATTTATGCTAAGCTAGGCTAACAGAGGTCCAGTGCCAAACCTGGAGATTGGTTGAATGAAAAAAAAAAAAGAGTAGATGTAGCACACAGGACTGTGTTTTATAAAGCGCCACCTCCACAATGCTGTCAAATAAAACTGTTGTCACTTGATACTGTAAACAGAAGCTTGCAATGACTCTGAGTTCTTCTGATTGGTCTACTGCTTTGGATCTGACATTGATGGGTGGTGCTGCATGTAAGAATTTTTTTAAGACTTTTTTTTTAAATTGACAGAGCATCTTAAAAAGCAAGGCACTATAAAAGATGCGACACATGAGCATAACAGTGATGCACTTCCATCAAGCATATTTACATTTACAGAGGAATAATCGAAAACAGGTGCATTGGAATGGAAATACAATCCACTGTGTTTAGCTATTTTTAACTGGAGACTAACTTTATGGCCAACTCATTTTAATCAGTGAGTTACTAACAGGCTGAAGTTGCTAACAGACCAATTGAATCAATAATAAATTGACATGAGGCTTGCTCTGAATGGATCATTTGAGTTGTTGACTTGAGGATAGCTGCAGTCAGATCAGTCCAATTCATCTTTCAAAAGTTAAACACTGCTATTGTGTCACTCATGAGGTGATGATTTCTTGAATTTAAAATGATTTTTTTGTTGTTGAGTGAAATGATTAATACATAAGTAAGGACTTTCATTCATTTTCCTTCAACATAGTCTTTATTTCAGAGATTGGCACAGCGGTATAAACCGCCAAATATTCCAGCATATGTTTTACGCAGCAGATCCCTTCCAGCCGCAACCCAGTACTTGGAAACACTCATACAAACTCATTCATATACACACACACATAGGCCAATGTAGTTTCTCCAATTCACCTATAGCACATGTCTTTGGACTCTGCGGAAAGCTAGAGCATCTGGAGGAAACCCACGTGAACACGGGGGGAACATGCAAATGCCACACAGAAATGCCAACTGACCCAGCTGGAACTCGAAGCTGCGAACTTCTTGCTGTGGGGCTACAGTGCTAACCACTTGATCCGCTGTTCCGCCTTAAGTAATGAATTTTCAAAATAAAAATACTCTGATACACATACAAGTACAAATTCTCACAGTAATAAGGTAAAATACCTAATTACTGTCCACCACTGCCATGACATTTGTCTGAGAAACCAGACTCAACAAGTTTCTAATTAAAAAGAGTTTTAGGTATGACCCCAGTTCTCTTCTTAGACTCAGGATAGAAAGATATTGGCTAAAACACTGACTGAGAGCCTACCATCAGTGCTGGAAAGAAAACGTCAACAGCAATAACAATCAAACAGAAGAATTCTGAAATGACAAAACAGCCTCATTAATCATAACATTACTCGCTCTAAAGGAGAGGCAGAGTCTGATAAATATTTTCTGTCTTGATTGATTTCTTCTTGGAAATATCCAAGCTGATCTTTCACATCCATCTTAAAGAAAATTTACTCACCACTTATTGGCCTCTAAGCCTTTACAAGTTTATCTTTTTTGTTGAAGACAAAAGAAGATATTCTGATGAAACCTCTAGTCATTGACTTTCATATTAGGGAAAATACTTAAAAGTGTAAATAAGTAGGAAAAAATAATTTTTAAAATACTGAGGAATCAATGGCTTCTTTAAAATAGGGTCTTTTGAGTTCATCCGATGAAAGAAACTGATTTGAAAAGACTTAAGATTGAGTAAAAATGGTGAGAAAATGTTTTACAGACGGTAATTCTTTATAAAGTGTCAGTTCATTTAGGTGTGTGTGAATGTTCATGTCTCACTTTTGTGTCTTTCCACTCGCTCAGCTCTGTGGTGTTTCTTCCATTGTGGTCACTGGCCTGGAATGTGAATGTTTCTGAGCGTTTAGGAAATAAACGTGACTCAAAAAAAAAAAAAAAATCACATGATGAATAATCTCCCAGATGAGCCGGAAAAACAGAGCCCTGGTGGCCTCATTAATGCTTAAAAACCTTTTTTTTTCTCTCTCTTTTGTGTTCAGCTGGGAGGTATGAAGAGGCATTGGACTGCGCATTGACTTATCTGTTGTTTCACGAAGGCGAAGAGTTCATGACGGAGAATGTGGAGTTTTACAGAGAGGTGCTAGGACATGATGGCCAGCCACGTAAGGTGAGAAACATGGAAGGAGTCACCCAAAACCAAATGATTTCTCATGAATGTGTGTGAAGGTTTTAATTTTAATTAAATTCATCTTAATTTCTATAGCTGTTTTACAATGTAGATTTTCAAAGCAGCTTAAGGTAGAAGTTATAGTAAATTGAAACTGTTCAGTTTAGTTCAGTGTGGTTTAATTTTCACTGCTGAAAGTACAAACACTGAAGAGCAAATCCATCAATGCGCAGCTCTACAAGTCCCAAACCAGGCGAGCCAGTGGCAACAGGGGTTAACAGGTTGTGTAAAATCTTCATTAATTTGATATGTTTATAGCAGCGTTTAGTGTGTCTTCAGTGCTTATATTACTGTACCCTTATCATAGAATAATATGGCTATGAAGATGGCAAAAAATCTGGGGTCATAGCTTATCAAATGCGTATTTACAAAACGAACCTTTTATTTCCGTTACAAAAACTTTTCTGGCCAACAATAAACCTTACTAAAGAATGTTCTGGGAACCAAAAATGAATGTTTCAAGTTTTATGTTCTCTTAAACCAAAGTGTTAACCATGGTGGCCTTTTTCAACAATTTTGATAATTTTATTAGTTATTTCAGGATCATGATTTCCTAACCAGTCAGGGAAAATAGAATATATTTTATGTTTTGGTCTTTGGAAAAAAGTCAGCATGAAAGGTTACTCCCATCTCAGGACCTAAAAATACACAGTAAATAATACATCAAATTTACTGTTAAGCTGTGATTGATACAATATTAATGTTAAAAATACGATAAAAAAAAATCAAATGCACAGTAAACTATGATATTTCATTAATTAATTTATACAATGATAAGAACCAATGTTTTGAAGTAACATCTACACTGTACCATTGTAATAAACTGACTAAAAGCACTACTAAAAGCAAATTGTGATGAGCTAGTCTCATAGTCAGCCCAAGCACATCTTATTCTTAGACAGCATTCACATGACTGTTAGACACAATAATAGTAACAAACATGACACTAAAGTTATGCAAAAAATCAACCCAGGCCCACTGTGGATAGGTACCCAGGGTCTACATTTCTGGGGACAGCAAATTATGTAACAGGAGGTATGTCTGCTCTGAGTTTTTGTTTTTGCAAATCCACCAGAGGCTGCTATATACACTATTTGATGATCTCAAATTTCTCTTGCGCATCCTCTTCTCGCATAAATCCACCAGAGGACGCTATGTACACTTATATATACAATATACACAGGCCAGCTTGCTGTCGACTGACTGACTGCAGACATCCCAAGTCTCCTAGGAGTTCCGGGAGTCTTCCGCAAATGCACAGAGACTCCAGGATGCCCACAAACGAATGATAATCTCCCGGGAATTGCGCATCTCCCACTCAGGCCTTAAGTAGTCTCCACCGCCCCCACCACTCTTCAGATACGTCGTGTGCACACGCCCCCACTCCCACCTCTCTTCAGATATGACACATGCACATGCCCCCACCGCTCTTGAGATACCTCGTGCGCACACACCCCTACCCTTTCAGGCACCCACTCTTGCGCAACTGACCCACCAACCCCCTTCCCTAAACCCAAACGGATGTGTTTTTAAAAGCACACTACAAGAAAAGCCGCCATGGTGATGTGATTTCACCACAGTTCTTATGTATCTATTTATTTATTTATTTATTTATTTATGTGCTTTTGTTTTACCTGGTTTCTGGAACCGCCCCGTAGCATTCATTTTAAAGATGATATGCAACAGTGGTACCCGTAGCCTAGTGGTTAAGTGTGCCAACATATAGCACCAAGATGCTCACGGCAATCCAAGTTCGATTCCTGGCTCAACGTCCTTTGCTGATCTTTCCCCTCTGTTTGCTCCCCATGGTTTCCTGTCAATTCTCTACATTGTTCTATCCATTAAAGGTTAAAAACAAGAATGAAGTAACAAATTATTTCTTTAATAACTGGAAAAGAATATTTGAACCTATTGGTTTATGATATGCTCCTGCTCTATTTTTCTTGGCTATGGTGATAATAATCAGGAATGTTGGACCTTGACATATCAGCAGAAGACACAAACTAGCCAGACAGTAATGTGTGAATTGTAGAGTGGGCTAAATCTATAAAACAACGTCAGTATTTTTTGGTAACTTTTTTTGGCTTTTTTTCTTCTTATTGTAGAGCAACCCATGTTCTGTTGTCATTACAGTTTTTTTCCAACTGCTTACACACAAAATCTTTTTGTCACACAATTTCTGAAACATCTCACTCAAAATGCAAAACTACACATCAAATTACCAAAACCAGAAGCTGTTTCTCAGCCTTCCACTTTTTTCAAAACACTACACACAACTTTCTACCTAAAACACAAAAATCTAACAGGAAGCTACTTGCTTTCCTTTTTCAAACACAAACAGTCAAAATGCTACACTTATTCACCAGGTCACACACACAGTCTTTAAATGTAGAAACAGTAATTTCTTAACTGATCACTAACCAATCACTGCTTTACTGTAGTACAGGCCTATAAATAGGTCAAAAGTGACAGGACAGGGCTGTTCTGGGCCAAAAAGAAAAAAAACTGCATGGTCCACAATTTGTAGATTTGTACCTACCCCCGATAAATCCTAAATTCCTCTAGAAAAGAATACAGGTATTATTCTCAACCTGGCTCTGTAAAGTGTATGATGGCCAACCCTATGCCCGCATAGCGCTTTTGCAGGCAAAGGACCCATGTAGCCATCGACTGTATATTGGTTTACCTGTGTTTTCTCTAATATTTACAGTAATTCATTACTTTTGTCTGTTTTTTTACAGTATTTCAGTTTTCAGCCACAGTTTGAAAATTGTCATGAATTCAATATCAATTTAATCAAAGCATTTCTTATTCTGGATCCAATTCTTTGCAAAAAGGCAAATTTGACAGCTCAAATAGAAAGACAGCAAATGGCATTGGCAATAGGCTACAATGCCAAGCAATGGTGCACCGATTTACACTGAGTTCTGTATTTTGTATTTTGTTTTACATTGTGTAATGATTAATTGAAAGAGCTCAAATACTTGTTTGTAATTTGTGTTGTTTGAAGGTAAAACTAGCTTTTGTTGCTTATTTTTAAATGTTTTGGCATGGTATGTGCGTTTGCAAGCAAAATGTCTCATTTTGACCATAAGTGCCGCTTTTTAGGCCTGTGTGTTACTTGTTTCGAAAATGTGGAGTTTCAGTTGACGGCTGCATCAAAGCAATTAAGAAAATCTGTAATTATATGATGTAGTTCTGAAAACTTCCTACTTTTTTGTTTATCTGTCCGACTTTACGCTGGGTTTCTTTTGACTGCCCCCTATAGTTTTAATAAATATCACAACGGCAAACGCATCAAGTATAAAAGCCTCATCTATTTCGTGAGGTGCCTGCATAGTCAATGGAAATCCACAATGTGGTGCCTGGCAAAAATATAAATTAGCCTTAATGTATATCATAGAGAAAAAAAAAATTATAGTAATGTCAAACCAAAAAAAAAAAATGTTTATGAAATCTCAGAAAGGCAATTTACAGATATTGACCGCATATACTAAGGAAAATTTTAGCCAGGTAATTTTACTGTAGCATTTTATTTTTGTATTTTTTTACCACGGCTATTCATCATACGGCTTTAATCATTATTGTCACGTGAGCAAATACTACAAAAATGTAGAAATTAGATCACATAAATTCCTACAAATTAGCCACTAATTTGCTAAGTTGCAAAATAGTTCCCATGCCGTTGTATTGGAAATTCTAGCCACTTACAAGCTGTAGATCTACTTTTTACTGACACATTTACAGTTATCTGTTGGTCTCCTGAGGTTATAGACATAACTCACAGAGTCTTCCCTTCAGTTGATGCTCTTCCTTCAAGTACTTCACTGTATAACTGCTGCAGTCCCTATAGAGCAAGTCCAGAGTCATAACATTGACAGTTCTTTGATCCCTGCTTTTGACAAGATCCAGATCATCCCAGTCCAGATCTATTGTGAAATCAGTCCAAGAGCAGAATCTGGCAGGAGGCCGTATATATATTCATAAACACACTGGAACGATCAGGCGTTGAGCGGGTTTGGTATTCGAGATGTACAGTAGTGGCTGCACGCACTGGTGAACCATCCAAAACAGTCTCTCGCTGGAAAGCCTGGAAGCTATTAGCACTGTAAGAGTTTATAGAGTCAAGAGCCAGAGGGCTTGAATATGTCATTCAGTGCAGGATCCTTTAGCTCATAACAAGCCACTACATTCTTTTCCTACCCAATGCAGTGTTTCCATCTCTCTGGCCTGCTGCCACTTCTGATTGCCCCATTTCTAGTTCCTCTGGGACCCTTGTTAACCCACTGCTGAGATATTGTGCTGACAGTATTGTCTTCTGGAATAGGTGGAAAAGTTTTACCGAAACGCCACAAAGCTCCTTGAAACAATTTGCGTGCTGTTTGCATTTGGAGAACATGATGCCACAAATGCTACCAGTGTAACTCTTTCCTCAAAAGGGCAGCGTTTAATGTGGTCTCAACCACACTTAGAAGCAGAAGACTTTGCTCTCCAGTCATAACAAGCTGCTTTTAATAATCGCCAGTGACCACCGATAAAAAAATCCCCCTAGAATGAAAGAAGGATAAAAGTAATTGTGCAGGTTGTAGAGCAGGCTTGATCTCAGATCGAATGTCTGTCATGCTGTACATTTTTCAGGTTGTGTTTTTATTTTGTGAGGCTCTAAATGAGATGTTTGGGAGTAAAAGTAGTTGCACAACGACTCCCAAATTTTTTTTATGTTTTTTTGTTTCTATTCGTTATTATGACAATTTGTCACACACTGAGTCTGATGCATAAAAGTATATGAATCTATAATGCATACAAATCTGAAATCTGTTGCGAAAAATACATTCATTTCTTTTCCTTCGGTTTAGTCACTATTACAGGGTTTGCCACAGCAGAATAAACCACCAACTTAGTCGTAACCCGGTACTGGGTACACACTCGATTCACACACTCTCACCCGAAGGAAACCCACATGAACATCAGGGAACAAGAAAACTCCACACAGAAATGCCTCCTGGTCCAGTCGGGACTTGAACCAGTGACCTTCTTGCTGTGAGGTGACAGTGCTAACCACCGAGCCACCACGTCACCATGAATATACATTTCAAAACAGTACAAAATGGATTCTTTAGGCAGTGATGCTTTATTCTCACTCTTCTTCGAAAAAAGTAAGAAATGTTGTGTCCATTAAATTGAATTGATGCTGCACAGAGACTGGCAGTATATGTAAAAGCTATACACACACACACACACACACACGCACACGCACACGCACACGCACACAGACACACACACACACACACACACACACACACACACACACACACACACACACACACACACACACAGTGCCATGGAAAAGGAGTGACAAGCATTGAAACCTGCACACAGTAGTATACAGCAGTAATTCTCAACTATCCACAACAATCTGTCTTTATATTCCACCTTTTGTTTGTCTCTGTTTGTCAAGACAAAGTGGATTAATTTGTCAGATTCCATTCTGGATACATCGTTTGTATGGTGGCTCTGAATTGTCAAAACACTAGGGATGCTGCCATCGATCGTCCAATAATCACATTTCATGACTCGATCGTTACTTGCCAATCTGACCAATCTCAGGAACCTATCGCAGGTGTTTGTTTATGAGTTTACAAGCTGAGGAAGACACAAATGCACACCCGTATATTATACATAGCCTACAGCAGCCTTTTTCCAACTCTTTATACAGTCTATTAGCGCAATTCGCATGAGTGATGGACTCTTTGTTGCAAGTCCAGCCATTGTATTTCCAGTGTTTTATGCTGCTGTGACCTAAGCATTGCCACTATCTAGTGTTTCATCCAACAACATGACCTCTCTCAGTCGATTTCACAGTGACTCCGTGATTCCCAAAAATGTGTTAAAATACCTGGAAATCATGGCAATGCGAGTGAATGAGCAAGAAAACAGATTGCGAGAGGCACAGTGATGTTCTAAGCATTACATTTGTTAGGTTAAATTAGTAGAGCAGTAAAGATATCCTGAGTGCTAAAACCCCAGCTCTCTGTCATTGAGAGATCTGCTGTCAATAGTTGGACACGAGCAAAATATTTAAATGGTCCTGCATGTATTTAGGTCGGGGAAAACATGCAAAGTCTACACAACAACGTCAACTGGCCCAGCTGAGGCTCGACCCAGCGACCTTCTTGCTGTGAGGCAACAGCACTACTTGCTGTGCCACCGTGTCGCCTTGGCCCCACATCGGATAACAACAAATTTTTTTTGCAATGCGTTTCATAACTGAGAAAGCATCATGTATATGATGTGACCGTGAGCATTAAAAACATGTTTCTGCAAGGCTGGCTCATTTACAATCTTGAAAAAATTATTCCGTTTCAATAATTTTAAATAATTCAAGCTGCATTAGATGAAAGGGAACCTAATTCGGCACAGAGAGCAGATTTCTGTGCGCACTACGTGTCTCAGTGGGCATTACCAAACGCACTTCTTTTTTATTTAATTTCATGCAGTCTTAATTCGTACAATTAATTCGCAGCAAACAGTTCAGCAGCACTGAGTAGGATAATTGGGAGATGAAACTAGGCATGCTTAAACAGCATTTTTCTCACGAAAAGAGTAAATTGAAAGGGGTACATTTCTCTAGGCACAACACCTGCCCTCAAGTTCACTATCTGTGAACGACGCACAAAAATAGACAAATCACAGGCAGTTTCAGTTGTGAAGTTCATGCAAAGTGCAACATACAAAATTTAAATATGTGTGCAAAGCACTTTATTGTCCCCATGACTGATAATATTTTTTTTCTTTTCTGAAGAAAGTCTTATTTGTTTTATTTCGGCGAGAATAATAGCAGTTTTTAATAAAAATTTTTAAAAATTAAGTTCAAAACTATTAATCCATTTAAGCTCATTTAAAAAAAAAGTCTACAGAATAAACCCTCATTATACAATAACTTGTCTAATTACCATAACCTGCCTAGTTAACCTAATTAACCTAGTGAAGCCTTTAAATGCATAGAAGCATTTAAAGCATTTAAATTTAAGCTGCATAGAAGTGTCTTGAAAAATATCTAGTCAAATATTATTTACTGTCATCATGGCAAAGATAAAATATGTGACGAAAAATTCTTCTCTCCAATAAACAGAAATTGGGGCAAAAATAAACAGGGGGACTAATAATTCAGGGGGGCTAATAATTATGACTTCAACTGTACTTGTAACTAGAGAATCAACCATATAGTTCATGGAGAGCAAAATGGCTAAAATGCAAATTTTTTTGCAAAACTTAACAAACATCTCTTTCTTACACACACAACTCTTAAGGTTCATGCTTAGAGGGATGCATTATAAAGCTTGAAGCATCAGAATCGGTATTTTGTAGTGGCCGATGACTATGACAAGGAATCGGTACTCTATATTGGCTGCAAAAATCTTGATCAGAGCATCTCTACAAAGCACCTCTGAAAGTGCTTGCTACAGATGCCTGCAAAAATTCTAACCTTATCCAACTTTTTTTTAGGAAGGATGACAGTTTCGGAGCCAATGTGTAAACATCATTGACACACAAGAAGTCATTTTTATTTATTAAAAGTGAGAACATTTCAGATAAACATTTTTAATATTATTGGCTTTCACGCTGTAAAGCTAGAAGCTTTTTCATGGTTCCTCAATCTATTGGATCAATTATTTTCACCGTATGAACAGGGAATATACAACACGATATTATGGCAATTCATAACTTTTTGATTTATTGGCAAATTTTTATGAATTCATTCAGTCTCATTCGTACAATTTAGTACGATTTGTTTATCCTCCAATGACGGTTGGGTTTAGGGGTGGGGTTGGGTGCCATGACTCCTTTTTAAAATAGTACATTTGCATACTAATTAGCCACTAAACTGAATGTAAAGTTGTTATGTTTCATTGTGAGATCAGGCTGGGAAACTTCTTTAAGGGGAACTAAATTAGCCCCTGTTTCAGTATAGGGTGTAATTCGGCACATTGGAACTAGCAATGACACAAGTGTGCATTTATCCAATTAAAACATGATATAAGAAGTAAAAGCACAGTCATCAATGCTATGATTATAAGTCTATAATAATGTAAACTTATTATGCTTACTTTTGCTACTGCAGGAAGCTAAAGGGTATTTGAGGCGGCACAAACAGGAGTTAGACCTGCTCCTCATTGGCAGCAGTAACCTTGGTGTGGCCTATACTGAAGGGGTAAGTTCACAGATTCAGCCCGAAATGATTTTCTAATACTGAAACGTGCTTTTTTTTGCCAGTGTAATATCCACAGACATTCACAAGCAATTTATTTTTTAGGTTGGGTCTGTTAAACAACAGAAATGTCATATATTTGTTTTAAGTCTGTATTTTGTTGGTCAGATTAAAAAAGCACTAGAAAATTAATATCATAAGTCTTTAAATAGATAATATATTTAATATAGTATATTTTTGTTTCTTTCTTTTTTTTTTTGTGTGTTGCATTGCGTTGCATACCAGAGCAGTTTCAGAATATTGCTCTTTCTGTCAACATTTGACTAGCCAGACTCTCTTTGGGGTTTTCTTTTAAATAAATGTCCTAAAACAGTTCAAATGTATCTTGAAGGAACCAGGAAATGTTTCAATCTCATAACAGTATTGAATAGCAGCAGGTGCTTCTGTGAGCTCTAAAATGAAAGCGTCAACCTCTATCGCCCCCTTGTGGTGGACTCATCTAATATTCCGACATCTTTTATAAAGCTCTTTATATCATATTATTTTAAGGCTTTTCATGTACACTTTCCACATTTGTGACTCTTCAGAGCTACTGGAGCAGTTCAGGTGGTAGAGAAGATGCGAACAGGTAGGAGTACTCAAAATATGAATATACATTTGAAGTCAGATTTATTAGCCCCCTTGTTTATTTTATCCCCCAATTTTTGTTTAATGGAGGGAAGATTTTATTCAACACATTTGTAAACATAATAGTTTTAATAACTCATTTCTAATAACTGATTTATTTTCTCTGTCATGATCACAGTATGTAATATTTTACTAGGTATTTTTCAAGACACTAAAATGTATTTACCTAAAGTGACATTTAAAGGCTTAACTAAGTTAATTAGGTTAACTAGGCAGGTCAGGGTAATTAGGCAAGTTATTATATAACGATGGTTTGTTCTGTAGACTATCAAAAAAAAAAAAAAAAAAGCATCGCTTAAAGGGGCTAGTAATTTTGACCTTTTAAAAAAATAAAAACTGCTTTTATTTAGTCCGAAATAAAACAAATAAGAATAAAGAATAAAGAAATAATATGATCAAACATACTTTGAAAAGTTCCTTGCCCTGTTAAACATCATTTAGAAAATATTTAAACAAGAAAAAAAAATCTAAAGGGGGCTAATAATTCTGACTTCAACTATATATAAAATAAATAAACATTCAATTGAGAGTATATGTGCTGGATATGTGTCTTCAGGATTCCTTCTGGTACAGATGGCTGGATGGATTATGTGCCAATATCAGCCAAAAGAAACATCACAATGTCTAAGTTGCCAGAGCTGAGGGAAGGTAATGAGCTGTTTATGACTTTGAAATGATCTGGGCTGAATTACATTATAAAAGATGTGGTAATAGTCTGGAATTAACACACAAATTTGTTATATGTGAAAAAAAAATCTGCTGGTATCTGCTGATAAATTTAATTTGTGGTAAATTTATTTTTTTCAACAATGCCTTTGTTTACAATATGCAGATTTTTAGATAATTTAAAAATAATGACAACCATTTAATTATTATATAAGATACTATTTAATTTGTATTTAAAATATTAAGAAAATAAAATGATTTAATATCAACACTACTACTTATTTTAAACAATTTAAGGAGCCTACTAGTAGTGTTTTAATTATAATATTAAATAACTTATTTTCAACAAAAAAATGTAATAATGTAACATCTGAAAGCAAAAAGCGAAATGAAAACTTACCAGCCATCTTTTTTTTAAGTCTTTAGCCATCGGCAGGTTTGACAAAATGCTTGTTTTAGGCATTTTATACACATAATATTTCATTATTTTTTCCATATAACAACAGCTTTAGGTGACTTTGTATATCATAGTAACCCCAAAACTACAAAAATTGTGTTCTTGATTTATCATTTTTATTTCACAGTGCTGTTTATGTGGGTTGCGTGTATGTGTGTGTGTGTGTGTGTGTGTGTGTGTGTGTGTGTGTGTGCAGGAGGTCCACTGCTGTATGAAAATGTGCATGTCGTACTGAACTCTCTCTCCCTGAACGGCAGTCAGCGGGTGGTTCTTGATGATGTCATCAGTGACGAGCAATGCTCTGACCTCAGAAATCTGGCACATGTGAGTAATCTACACTTGTCTGACTTAAACTCCTGCCACAACACAGTGGCAGCTCATAGCCACAGTCAGCCTACGCTTTCTTTTCTTTCTTTTTATTTGAATATACTTAATTTGTCACACTAAAGTTAAAATTAAAAACAAAGGTCACACTTTATTTTAATGGTCCGTTTGTTGATTTTAAGTTAATTTACATGCCAACTAATTCTCATTAGATTATTAGTAGACTGTTAGGTTAGGGTTAGGGTAAGTTAACATGTACAATACTTGATAAGTTTTTTATAGTCAGTTAAATGTTTGTTAAAAGAGGAGTATCAGCAGATATTAAGCAGACAGTCTACTAATGCTCAAATGGACCATCAAAATAAAGTGTTACCAAAACAAAACTTATTTCCATTGTGGTCTTTACTGATACGCTCAAGTATGTCATATAAATATCTGAATATGTGCAGAGTGTCGCTGCAGCTGGTGATGGTTACAAGGGGAAAATGTCTCCTCACACGCCGAATGAGAGGTTCGAAGGGGCGACGGTACTGAAAACATTTAAGGTGAGACCTTTTAGACTCATACTCATGTTTACAAACAGTACCAAAGTAACTCTTATTCCAATTTAGTAATAGCATATTTTTAGCTGTTTGAAAAAAAATGGCTGATATGCTGCGAACTGGTTCTTCTTATCTTAATTAATTACCGTATTTATAAACACTGATTTGTTGCTAATTAATAGCAATCCACAGTTTAGTGTTAGCATGTTGCTAATGAGCTGAATGTAAATGCATAATCATCTGTTGCATGTTTCTAACAAATTGGAAGTTAGATGCTAATATCATGAAAAAATGCCTGATGCTCACAAATATTAGGTAAACAGTGTTGTTCATTTCTATTGTATTTACTATTTCTTGTGTAATAAACCTGGAATTGTATGCTTTCTATAGCTTTTCTATGTATATTTGACATATAGTTTGATGGAACAGTCGTAGTTAAAAAGTCATACATAATTAAAACAGCCGTGTGTTAAAAGCATATTCCAAAAGTGTTAGCATGTTGCTAAGCTAACACCATGAAAATACACATAACTATTCCTCCCCATCAGTATACTTAGTCTGATAAACCTGTTGTAAAATTCAGCTGTTGTCGATTCATAGACAAATAGCTTTTGTTTTTCATTTGTGAGTTACTTTATAAATAAATGTCTGCTTAACACTTTTAGCTTGATTGCTACATTTTTAAACAGTTTCAGTCATCTTATAAATGTTTAGATTAGATAGTCATGAATAATTAAAACATTGCTGAATAATATTAATGACTAATTCATAATTTACCTTTTTAGTTTGGCTATGAGGGGCGTGTTCCTTTAAAAAGTGCCCGCCTCTTCTATGATGTCAGTGAGAAGGCTAGACGCATCATTGAGTCCTACTTCAAGCTCAACTCAACTTTGCATTTCTCCTACACTCATCTGGTGTGCCGGACTGCTATATCGGGTACAACACAACAATAACAACAATGTTATTACACATTAAATAAATATCATATCAGATATTTATACATATGTTGTATATACGTAATAATGTTAAAATTTTACTGTTAAAACTTTAATATTTATGTAATGTGCATGTCTTTAATATATTTTAAATAAACTACATTATTATTAAATTTATGTTTTAAGTAGATGTATCTAAATAATACTATATATTTAATCAATTATATTTATATAACTATATGTGAGTGTAATAAATACTATAAAACACTGGTCTCAAACCCAATACAAACCCAAATTGGAGGGCTGCAGCTCTGCAAAGTTTAGCTCCAACCACCTCCAACTCACACCTGCTTGATTATAACACCTTGATTATTTGGATCAGCTATGTTTGAGTACGGTTGGGGCAAAACTGTGCAGAGCTGCGGCCCTCCAGGAGTTTGAGACCTATGCTATAAAACACTAATTATAGTTTTGTTACAAACTAAATACTGAATTTATGTTCATTTATACATATTTTACTGATTATTTTCTTAGGTCAGCAAGACCACAGGAATGACCTCAGTCACCCCATTCATGCTGACAACTGTCTTCTTGACCCAGAGGCCAACGAATGCTGGAAGGAGCCTCCAGCGTACACTTACAGAGACTACAGGTAACAATCACCATAAAACTGATCCAGACTCTTCACATTACATTATTCACATTACAACTGCAAGCTGAATGTGGCCATTTTATGTTGAAGAATGTTTACTCTGTTTTCTCCTCTTTTCTCAGTGCCCTGCTGTATCTGAATGGTGATTTTGATGGTGGAGAATTCATCTTTACAGAAATGGATGCCAAGACGGTCACAGTAAGCAAAAATAAGCATCTCAGATCAAGTTTAAAGCAGTCATGAATTGAAAAATCTAAATTATTTTGATCCTTTGGCATATCAATTGTCATTGTACTATAGAACCATCCCGTAAATTTAGAATTTAAAACGTTCTTGTTACGTTAAAGACAGCTTATATTGAAGCCAGTCTGCTAAAAACGATAGGTTGTGCAATGTGCCATATTATTGTGTAACTGTGTGGCTAAACTCCACATTCACAGAATATCAACGCCCACTTCTACATCACTGTTTTTAGTCACGCCCACTGATTCACTGAATGTATGAATGTTTGTGCAAAAGCTGGTTATTATAACTCTAACCATCGTTACCTTTACATTTGTGTAACGGATTGATTTATACAACTGAGGACCTAGTTGAAAAGTTAAACCACCGTCTGCATTTAACAGTAAGGCTGTTTTTGCACCATTAGTCCGAATTAGCCTATTCAATCACAGAAAATGAGAATCATTCGATCGCTTTAATATGACATATTTAATAATCAAATCAAATAGTTATAATAATCAAATAATTATAGTATTTTATTTAGATTAATTTTAAGCTATCTCACGGCCCACCTGCAGGATCGCTGAGGCCCACTAGTGGGCCATGGTCCACTGGTTGAGAATCTCTGGTCTATACATACATGGCTGTTTGACACTATTCTCTGCACCCACCAAGTCTCTGCATCTAGTGATAAATGCGGAAGGTTTTTTCTACCATTTGGCGTGCGGTATCAGATTTTATTAAAACTACCGTCTAACTAGCAGTTTCTCACATCTAATATCTCGTTTGTCACGGGGGGCACGCATGAAATGTTTCTGAGTAAAAGTGAAGGTGCCAAATTGCAGTTAATAGTTCACAAATTAAGAATGAAACACCCGGAATTACATGATACTCGGAGGAAATGTGGATAGCATGACAGGAACATCCAAAAAGCAACTCATGTAAACACCTTCATCATTTTATTGTCTTAGTGTGGTTTATTCATAAACTAATTTCGAGAGGATCACGTGCTTATAATCACCACGGCTGGCTCCTTGTTAGCTCCGTAATCAGTCCTATTAGATGATTACGGAAGCATTATAAATAACCTGAGTTTTTCACTCCAGTTATCTTCGTCTTGAAGCTCCCCCCCTTTCCACCCCTACATCTTCCCACTTTTTCTGATCGGGCGACAGGGTGGCCCAGTGGCTAGCACTGTTGCCTCACAGCAAGAATACTGCCGGTCCAACCCATTGGGCCGGTTGGTGTTTCTGTGTGGAGTTTACATGTTCTCCCCGTGTTTGCTTGGGTTTTCCCCGGGTTCCCCGGTTTCCTCCCACCGTCCAAAAACATAAACCATAGCCAATCGACTAAAACAAATTATCACCCAATACAACCTGAGTTTACACTTCTCACGGTGACAAGCAGGGGAGTTCTCGAGACCTACCTGACCTCGAATTCCCCTCTCGCCTTTCTAACGGGAGGGAGCCCCGGGCTCGAGGATATTACGAGCTCAGGGCTCTCTCCCGGGACAGCATGCCAAATACGCTTTATTGATTATCAGGTAAGTGTGAACTCTTGAATTCAGATTAAGGCAAATAGTTTGATGACTGGTGTCCATTCAAACGTAGTTGCTGTCTATCTCCTCTGCCTCTGTATTTGTGTTGCCTCTGTGAAAATCAGCACGTGCACATAATGATACTTTTCATGCAAAAAGTATCTTTTCAAACTTTTCATACTTTCCCATCTAAACAAACCTGGACTCACCCACTTTCCTAACTTTTTTTAAACTAGAGGTGGGAAAACACCCTGCTGAGACAGGGGGTTTTGTGGCCCTTTAAGAGTTCACTTTTTATATGTTATTATTTTGATGTATACCCAGTATTTAATCATTTTTAGTCATCTTTTTGATGGATAAAGGCTGTCAAACACACACGCAAAAGCTTACATCAGTGGGCTGTTGTTCTTTCAAACTCTTAAGAAGATTTAAATATGCAAAACTGTTATCTGTTATTATTTTGATGTATAGCCAGTATTTAATCATTTTTAGTCATCTTTTTGATGGATGTAGGCTGTCAAACACACATGCAGAAGCTTACATCAGTGGGCTGTTGTTCTTTCAAACTCTTAAGAAGATTTAAATATGCAAAACTGTCAGCCAATAACATCAGTGGGCGTTTATTTCCGAGTCAACAATCTACTTCAAACAGTGTGTTCCAATGAGGGGGTTAAATACGACCACAATATAGCCTATTACTTCAAAACTACAAGCTGTTTTTTAATGTAAAAGTTTTCCTAATCTCTGAGATATACAAAATAGACAGACAAAGTAGTTCATAACTCTTTTAAGCTCTGTTTTGTCATCGCAGGCCTCGGTGAAGCCCAGATGTGGGCGCCTGGTGGGCTTTTCTTCGGGTGGAGAGAATCCACATGGTGTTCGGGCTGTCACTAGAGGGCAGAGGTGTGCCGTGGCTCTCTGGTTTACTTTAAACCCCCTCTACAGGGAGCTGGTGAGAAAACCTGATCACCACATTTACCACAGCCATGCACATCACTTTTCAGTTCACTAAATCATAAATATACGTTTGTAATATGGATAATTCATCAAAAATAAACATTCTGTCATCATTTCTTAAGTTTTTTTTCTTCTTTTTTTCTGTTAAGCACATTTGATGAATGCTAAAATTCTGTAGCCACTGTCTTCCATAGTATTTGTATTTCCTAGTAATTACAGGTTTCCATCATTCTGCAAAATATCTTCTTTTGTGCTCAACAGAAAAAAGAAAAGTTTAACAAAAAAACTCATAAACATTTGAAACCACTTCAGGAAAAGTACATTTTTTTTTTTTTTAAACTACCCCTTCAAGTCTCATGTCAGACTTTAGATGATAAAAGTGAACAACAATTGGACTAATAAATACTGCCAGTGTGCTACAATACTGTTAAAAATCATAATCGTTATGTTTATATTAATGTCTAATTTCTTATTTTATAAATGGTTAGAATATTAGTGTCTGAGATTCATCAGAGACTGTAGTTACACCGGTGTTTTGTCAAATATTTGCTTTAATGTAAATATTTTTATGTATATATGTTCATTTAACTAATTTCATGGCCATTAACAGAGCCACTTTTTACCACTAAGATTTGTAAGATTTAGATTAAAGCTTCAAATATAAAGGTATCAAGTACTTAATAATTTGGCCATATTTTACAATAAGGTTCAAATAGTTTTTTGATTCGTTAGTATTTACTAACATGAACTAAGAATTGACTATACCATGCTCATAAATAGCTGCATGAGTATAAGCTTGGTCCATTAAACAGTATTATATACATTACAACTTAACGAACCAATAATTAGAAGAGTGTTCTTATATAAGTGGAATTTTCCATTGTAAATTAAGCACAAGCCCCAAGCCTTAGATGCCCACAGACGTGTGATACTCATCAAAGAGTGCTGTCAAACCCCCAAACCACTTCCTATGTTCTCACTACACATACACATACATACACTAGCATGATGGCCAATGTGTTTAACACATTTCACCGACACTTCTTAAGCCTGGAATATTTCTACACATGCTAGTGACTTTTGACCCCTTTAGCTATAAACAAAGGTGTAACAATGTCTTTTCTGACTGTTATAAGGGTCTAAATTATATGTATATTTTTATATATAACAGATATAATTTAAGTCATAATGGGACATTGTGCTGTGAAAACTTATCAAAACATTTAACCTTTAATGTAAAATGATTATTTATTGACAGTAAAAAAAACAGCTTGTAATGAAATACTTAATGTTTAAAAGCTGAAAATGTGACTGAACATTAGTGGTCTTAGATGTGGTAAGGTGATGAAGAGGAAGTAGAACATTGACATGCTTCTGAAACAAACACACGTTCAGAAAGAACGTGAGCAATTTCTGTGTGGATTTTTTCCCACTAAGATTTGTAAGATTTAGATTACAGCTTTAAAAATAAAGGTATCAGGTACTTAATAATTTGGTCATACTTTACAATAAGATTCCATTAGTTTTTAATCTGTTAGTATTTACTAACCTGAACTAAAAATTAACAATGCTTGTACAATGATGGACACCAAATGGATGACAGAAAATTGAAACTAGAATGTACATTTTGCACCTGTGTGAGAGGATATTCCCCTCCATATGTGCAGGTGGAAGAAGTCGGTTTTGTCATTCTCAGTGATCGAAATAATGGTGGTATAAATAAACAACTTCACTTACTTTTTTCCTCTACCCGAGTAATCAAATGAATTACATCTCCATTATAATTACTGACCAAAAAAGGGGGCATAATATGATTGATATATAATTTTCCATTTTCTTTTGCTTACCTAAGTGTTTATCTTTCTACATCTGTCTCTTTCGGCCTGCTCTAGTGTGTGTTGCGGATTGAGGGGGGCACATGATGATTTTGCATAGCGTGTATGTAAGAATGAGACAACCACATAGCTGATGTTGATTGGGATGTGTGTAGGGGTGGGACAACCACATAACTGATGATGATTTGCTAAAAATGCAGGTGACACTTTCAAAAGGGTAGACAGAGAAACTATTACAGCAACCAAAGCTAGTAACTCCGTTACTAAATGTGAGAAATAACTAGTACCAACTAATTACTTTTTTAAGCAGCATGCCCAACACTGCTCATTCAACAAAGGGAAACTGGAACTAGTGCTGCACACATACAAACTGTAAATAAAGCAGTGTTTGTTTATCATTTTTACCATTTCACTTTTTTGTGTTCCATCTTGACGTCATTTGCTTAGTTTTGTCACTTCAGTTTTTATTTGTGCATTCTGATTTGTAGCTGAACAACTAAACATTTGGCTGTTATATATGCTATTACAGCATTCTTTCACCCATGACAGCATTCTAAATCAGGAAGACTCCCTCGATATGAGCCCAGTCACACGAAACAAAATTTCCCAGCTCTAAAATACCAAGACACCATTATAAGAGGCCTCTATCTGCTCAACATTGCATTACGTGCCATGGCCTTTAATGGTAATCACTGTATCTGCGTTAAGTGGTTGACAAAGGATCTTGATTTGTCAAGTCAGACCACTTCCAGTAATTAACAGTCTAATATTGACGATCTTGGGTCCATGTCCTGCATTGTTAGAAATGGTGTACAGTTATCAGATACACAGGCTTTTTCACAGAAGACTGTAATGAACTGTGTGCTGTGAGACATTGCCCTGGTCACCACTGTTGTAGATGCTGGTGATTTGTTGCACGGTGGCCTTGCAGTTGGTGTATATAATGCTCAACAGTTTCCACTTTGACATCAGTAAGCTGTGGAAGACACATACCTTGATAGCTCATCATTTGACCATGTGTGCACCACTTATGAAACATTCACTACAGCGCCACATGAAATACCCATGATGCATGTCTTTCACAGCACGTGTGTCCACAATTTATCCAACTTTTCCAATTTTAATAAAAGTCTTTTGATCAAATTGCAGGAAAGGCTTCAAGCAGACGAAGTGGTTCAGGCTCTGGATAATCAGCACATGTTTGAAGATGACCTTCGCATCAACCCAAAAGATGAATTATAGTCCATCTGCCAATGGAGGAAAGCACAGGGTTCTTTACATCTATACCTATTTATTTAAAGACCAGAATAACTTTATTTTGTTTACTGTTGTGATGTGTTTATTTTGTTTCTGGCTGTTTGCAAGAGTGTTATTATAATGTGTGAATATGAAAACCTCAGTTCGCATTGATAACCTTATAAAGCAAAGCAACCCAAGCTCATTCTGAATACGTACCCTTATATATGCTTCTGGAGAGCGCCAAATATGTCCCAGAAGGTACTTTTTTTCTTTTTTTTGCAGTTTTTGATATTGTAAATCTATCAGAGGCCGCTGTGTATGCTTTTTGTACGCTCAAATTTCTCTCACGAGTGCCATTCACACCTGCTCTTCTCGTGTAAATCCACCAGAGGCCGCTGTTGACTAGGGATGGTTAGTTTAAGCAAATTAGATGAACGCAATAATGCGTGTTGATGAAGGGAGTCACTCAACGCATGCGCCATACTGCGCGCTTTGCCTTCTATAAGCAACAAGAACAAACGTCTGACATCTCTGACGGTGTCTGTATCCCTCAAAGCTGTTAAGAATTACATATTTAGAGATGTTGTGACAATACGTATTTATGTGTGCCTTTGATGCACCCCTTGATGTTTTTTTTTTTTTTTATGTTTTTTTGTCGCAGCACCAGTGGCACTGGAATTAGGCACCAAAATTCATATGCTGATTTGGTCCGGTGCATACAGGTTTCAAGGTGTTTTAGTACCCAACCCTACTGTCGACTGACCGATCGATTGATCTACCCTTCTCCTAAATCCAACCGGTTGTGTTTTTTTCAAATGCATCAGACTTCCCTTAACCCAACCGAGTGTTTACAAAAGCAATTCAGAAAATGAAGTCCTTGATTTTTACCATGTTTTACCCTGTTATTTATTTGTTCATTTTATTTTTGTCTTACTAGCTTTCTGGAACCATTCTTCGCCACACTCAAACCCCGCCGTCTTCGCTTGGCTTCTTAAGTCCACCAACATACACGTCGAGCCACTGGACAAACTAGTAACAGCGGAAAAAAGCCGTCCACACATGGAGGTAAACGGTCAGCTGTTAATCGTGAAAAGGAACCGCGTCATAGCGTTCAGTAGCGTTCGTTTTAAAGACGGTATGCAGCCATACATTCCTCTGGCTACATATTTCGTGATCTCCAGAAATGTATATAGGGGGTACAATTTCAGAATGAGCCTATGTTGTTATAAAGTCAAGATGGAATAAGTAATGTCTTTACATTTTTTACGCAGACCATCATGATACAATTTTATGTTGGCTTTCAAAGAAACTAAATATCCTTTCATTTATATGCCTCAAAGTATGTTTTGATGTTTATTTTTATTAAGGCAAGACACTGCTGGTGCAAACTATGGTAAAAAAAAACTAATAGTTATACTTCCACAGCTGATTGATTACATTAAAAATAGAAATATGCACAAATTATGTACAATTCTGGCAAACATAATCCACAAATCTGATCTGATTGTTTAGCAACAGTTTTTGCCTACAGTGTGTCACCTGAAATGAAATGCACCATTCATACCACCAAAGACACTGTACAACATCATGAATCTGGATTTATTTTATATTCAAATCTATTTAATGAAACATAATCCTAGTTACATAATGAAAGACTATGAAAAGTGAGGTTTTGCACAGTTGTGTATTTACTGTACATTCTTCTGTGATATTAGCATACAGTAGCTGTCAGTTTTCTAATAGTGCACTGTGATTTCGTTTACCACAATGCTTTCAGATTAGCTAATTTATACCGTTTACAAATGACCTGACTCAAGCTATGGTGTTATTTGATCATAGACGTCAGCATTTAATATTAGTAACCTTTTTAATAAAAGATGATATTTGTTCCTGTTTCAAGGAATTTGATCTTAAATGTGGCATATCTGAATTGTCCTTTCCTTTCAAATTCATTGACTCGTGTGTTACGTGTATCTCTGGTTGCCTCAGATCCTGTTGAGTTTGAACAAAAAAGAACGACGGCCACTTTTATTCACTGATGTTTTCCTACATGAGTATTTAAGTCTGGTTTTACTGTCTGTAATGCACATGATGATTATGATGTGTATTTGAAATTAAAAAACTGATTTGTCCTTAATTGATTTCATAGGGTTCTTTATTTATTTTGGTAATGTTTTAATACTTTGCTTTTAAACTAGATTCAAAAAAGGATAGAAAATATACATGGAATTAAATTAGTCATGAGTTTCAGTGGTTAAACCTTGTGACATTTTAGCAGTGCAGAGCTTAGTAGTTTTTATTATTATTATTATTATTATTATTATTATTATTATTATCATCACCAAACAAATTCCACACAAGGACATGGTGGCTCAGTGGTTAGCACTGTCGCCTCACAGCAACTATATTTTGCCATAGTTGGTGAATGGTGTGCATGGGTGTTTTATAGTACTGTGTGACTGCTTAAAATATATTTTATTCATTCTTCTGTGGTGACCCCTGAAAAAAAAGGTACTAAGCCGAAGGAAAACGAACGAATGAATGAATGTTTGCGAAATGCTTCGTTTAAATAAAGAGTGAGGTATTTTTTTGTGTGTGTGTTTCTTTGTTCTTCATACTGTAGTATGCACACTACCAACATACAAAACAAAACTTTAACATCCACTTTGACTTGTTTGGATTTCAACCTGTCAGAGTTCTCAGCAAATTATGCCCAAAAGTCTGCAATGTCAAAACAAAACTCCTTCAGGGGCTCAAAATGTACACATAAAACACCTTGGGTTGGATAGTGTCACACAACCAGCGATCGCTTCCCAGAGGATCGCTGGTTTTCACATGAACTCTCAGGACTTCCGCATTTCCCAGGACTACATTTTCATACATGCACTGCTCCCATACACGCACGTCTGTTCATTCATCAATCCTGATTGCATCACCAGCTGAGCCTTGTTCACAGACTGATTTCACGCCATTCATAAGCCACTCTCTCACGCTACCAGTGGGCCGAGTCTTGTTTTCCCAGTGTGACAATACAACGCGTTTCTCTGTTTTGTTTCTCCGTGTCTAGACCCTAGCCTTGTACCCTTGTTATCCTGCTTAGCCGCCTGCCTTTCGACCTTTTGCCTGTTATATTGACGACGATTCTGGACTGCCTTAACATACCTGTTTGCACCTGATTTGACCATTGCTTGCCTGATATTTGAATAAACTGCATATTGGATCTTACCTCCTGTTGTCTCCTGTCACTCCACCCCAGTCGTGGTAACAGATAGGGGTAATACATATAACATATTAAGACAAAATGTCAAAGATTTTAACTTTATATACATTTAGAGTGACAATAGATTTGTTAGATTTGTGTGTGTATATTTTATTTGTAAACACACACACACACGCACGCACGCGCACACACACACACTCATATATATATATATATATATATATATTCACATATATAGAGTTGAAGTCAGAATTATTAGCCATTATTAGTGATTTCCAAAAAATTATTAGAATGACCATATTTTATCCATAACCTATTAAAAAAATAGTAGTTAATAGTTACATTTAAAAAAACAACATGCAAATAAAAAGCCATTAGCTTTTCCATTTTTTGCCACCCCTGAGGTGATTATGTAACATTAAAAACACAGCACATTGATTTTATGGCACTAGGTTAAACTTTCTGACACCTTTACGGCACTCATGTACATTAAAAATAAATACAGGCCACAATTGAATGAAGGATGGTCTCAGAGTGGCGTTCTTCAAAGTTAATTGATGAATAGACTAAGGACTATTGATATATGTGCACCGGTGTGTGCTAGGTTTATATATTTATAAACACCTTAGAAATATTGCGGCTCGCGAGTCACTGCATTGTTATTGATGGAGTCACGGGCTGAAAAGTTTGGGAACCCCCTGCACTAAATTATCGCCTCAGTCCTCTTTAAATTTGATAAGAAAAGGCAGCAGAATTCCGCTCCTGTCTGTCTTTATTTTTCATTTGATTAGCAAACCACACATGTGCCGATAATAAGATGTGTTAGAGCCATAAAGAGCACTAGAGATTTGTCTTTTTATTTTTGTAATATTTTTCTATATTGTTTGTATAGGGATGCAAAGTTAGTGCCATTTGATGCAGTATTTAATATTATTATTTGTGATATTATGGTGTGTGCATGACGTTTTATGTGTTCAGTGGTGCTATACGTCATATGTATGCGTAAGCATCTGGAAAAAATGATCAGAAAGAAGGAAGGGGCTTGATGATAGACAGTCTTTTGACCGTTTTAAAATCATATTTATTTCGAAACTTGATAAAGTGTACATAGTTCTTTTGTTTGTATTTTGATTATTGTTGTTCTTGACAAACAAAAAAGTAAACTGTTACATTGCAAGTTTTTGGTTTTGCGCGTCAAATCCTTTGTTTCGAGCCCCTATGGAAATGGTGAAGAACTTGAAGAATTAGATCGCCATTACACTAAAGTCAAAAGACTTCTTCGCATTGGAGCAACGCGACGTGGAAACTGGATTACTGAGACTGAGGCTGCAGTTGTTATATAAAAGGATTTGTTGAGATTACGGACATTTTTTCACGTGCATACGGAGCAAACTCCACGTGAAACTTATTGCGGAAAACAAAAGTGAAAGTAAGTTCGTCTTGGAATATTTTGAACATAAAGACTTTTAAACTTGCTCCTGCAGTTTGAAACTTTTTTACAACGTAAGGGATACTTTTTCTGCTGCATTTTGCAAGTATTTGCTCCCAAATTATTGTGGAATTATGGAGGATGCAAGTGAAACTGCTGACTCGGATAAAGATGGCCACAAGAGGGCGGTCAAGTACACACATAAAGCGCTGGAGGAGCGTTTTAACAGACTTGTTAATTCAAGAAAGTCAAAGATGGCTCAAATTACCATTCATATGAATGAAATTGAGAAATTAAAAGAAAATGATGAAAATGTAGAAAAGATAGAAAAAGAAGTACTTGCAAAGCTTACAACATTGTATCAGGAATTCATTGAAATAAATGATAACATGCAAGAGCTGTTGCTGGATGAAGAAAAGGAAGATGATAAGCGTGTTTGGTTTGAACCCAAGTCATCAAAAATCAGGGAATTTTTTCTGGCTACTGAACAGTGGATTGGAAGGGTAAAGGATGCAAGTGCTGCAAAAAATGATGACATTGAACCAGGTGACAGTGTTTCAGAAGTTGCTATGACAGTGAGAAAAAAGAGCAGAGTGGGTTCATCAGCTGGACGTTCTATTGCATCTTCAGCCACCAGTTCAAGTTCAATTCTACGGATGAAAGAGGAAGCAGAAAAAGCAGCTCTGTTGGCCAAAGCTGCTTCTTTAAAAAAGAAACAAGCTTTGCAACTAGAAGAGATGAACTTGAAAGTTAAAATGGAGGAATTAGAGCTACAAACAGCAATTGCCATTTCTGATGCAAAATTAAAAGTGTACGATGAACGTGAAAATATCACTGAATCAAAGCAAGAAAATTTTCAACCAAAGCAAGCAGTGGATCAGAGAAGATCCGGGTTTAAGCAAGATTCCGATGAGGAAAATTCTGACGCTGAGCTTACAACTAGACAAAAACGACAGCCTGTTGCCCAGACTGTCAGCCAGAATGTTCCAAAAAGTGAAAATTCAGACGACGGTGTGTTTCAAATAATGAGGAGGCAAAATGACATCACTCAAATGTTGGTAAAGCAACAAAATCTATCTCAGTTACCCCAAAGAGATGTCCCAGTCTTCTTTGGCGATCCTCTTAACTTCAGATCATTTATGCGAGCCTTTGATAATGCCATAGACAGTAAGACTGAGAATGCTAAGGACAAGCTGTTCTACTTGGAGCAATACACCAGCAGTGAACCACAAGACCTGGTAAGGAGCTGTGGACATATGAACGCTGAAAATGGATATAAAGAGGCAAGAAGATTACTAAAACATCATTACGGAGATGAACTTAAAATTGCTTCAGCATACATTGAAAAGGCAATGCAATGGCCTCAGATTAAATCAGAGGATGGGAAGATGCTTAGTGCATATGCACTTTTCTTGACTGGATGCCACAATGTAATGCAGGAGGTGGATTATATGGCTGAAATGGATAACCCAACTAACATGAGGGCTATCATCTCCAAACTCCCCTACAAAATGAGAGAGAGTTGGAGAAATGTTGCATATGACATTCATGAAAGAGTAGGCAGAAGAGCTCGGTTTTCAGACTTGGTGGCATATATTGATCGCCAAGCCAAAGTAAAAAATGACCCCTTGTTTGGAGACATTCAAGAGTTAACTGACACAAATGTTGGGAAGAAAATCAAATCTCTTGACTTGAAGTACAAAAAGGCTAGTCCTAAAGGAAGTAGCTTTGTCACAAGTGTCTGTACTGAAGGAAAGAAGCAAGTTGACATGAAGAAAGAAACAAAATCTCTACGTGAACAAACATCTTGCGTTACATGCACATTCTGTCAAAAGAACCATGATTTAAATTCGTGTTTCACATTTAAGGAGCAAGCACACAAAGACAAAATTGAGTTTTTGAAAACAAAAGGACTGTGCTTTGGATGTCTCACAAAGGGGCATTTAAGCAAAAGCTGTAAGAAAAGACTTACATGTCACGAATGTTCCAAGATGCACCCAAGCATTTTGCACATTTATATGGAGAACAGTACCAAATCTAGCAGCTGTGATGAGAATGACGCCAAAATAACAGCATCTTCAACAGACCATGAAACTTGTGGATACACTGGGGCCGGTAACAGTGAATGCATCCTAGCTATAGTCCCAGTGAAGATCAAGTCTAAGAAATGTGACAAGGTAGTAAAGACTTATGCCTTTATTGACCCAGGAAGCTCTGCAACGTTTTGCACCGAGGCATTAATGAGAGATTTAAACTTGAAAGGCAGAAAGACAGAGATTCTTCTTCGCACTATGGGACAAGAAAAATCTGTGTACAGCAATATTCTGTCAGATTTGGAAATATGTGGCTTGGAGTGTGACAACTACATGGAACTTCCTAGAGTGTTCACTCAAAAAGAGATACCAGTGAAACATGAGAATATCCCTCAACAAAGGGATCTAGAAAAATGGCCCTATCTGGATCAAGTTAAACTCCCTCATCTCAAAGCAGAAATAGGTGTGCTGATTGGTGCCAATGTGCATAAAGCAATAGAACCATGGCAAGTGATAAATAGTGAAGGAAACGGACCTTATGCTATCAGGACAGCATTAGGATGGATAGTTAATGGGCCTCTGCGAACTGACGAGAGCACAGAATTAGAGTATGGTAAAACTTCAAGTTTCACTGTAAACAGGATTTCAGTTGCGGACATTGAAACTTTGTTGGTAGAGCAGTTCAATGCAGACTTCCCTGAACGTAATTACTGTGACAAAACAGAAATGTCACGAGAAGACCAGAAATTCATGCAATCTGTTGAGCAGTCAATTCAGTATAATGATGGACATTATTGTATTGGATTGCCCTTCAAAAATGATCCAGCAAGGCTACCCAAAAACAGATGCATAGCAGAACAAAGAGCTAAAGGCCTTAAAAGAAAGCTCTGTAAAAACCCAGAGT